TAACACATGGGGGGGCTCCACGCAGTGAATAAGTATTACTTGGACGCCTCCTACTCCTCCTCCTCCATCTTCTTTTTCTCCGTATCCTCCCCTCTCCTCCTCATACCCAGACTTACTCATACACAGACTGACTCACACTCAGACTTACGCATACCCAAACTTACTCACACACAAAATTACTCTTACTCGGTACTCCTACTCAGACTTACTCATGCTGAGACTCACGCACGCCCCGTTCGCGGCCGTTTTGTGGGGATGCCTCAAGCGGTGTGTTTGTTTTCTGTCCCAACATCCTTGGCTACCAGAGCAGATTGTGAGCATGTCTCAGGCGGGGCGCTGGTGCCAGCTCCTCCTGAAGGGAGCGACCAGGGGTTATCTCACGGTCCCGTTCGCGGCCGCCGTGTGGGGATGTCTCAAGCGGTTTGCCTGTTTTCTGTCCCAACGTCATTCGTTTTCGGAACAGATGTGGAGGATGTCTCAAGCGAGGCGCTCATCTTCACCCCCCCTAAGGGGAGCCGCCAAGGGTTAGCTCACGGTCCCGTTCGCGGCCGTGTTGTGGGGATGTCTCAAGCGGTTTGCTTGTGTTATGTCCCAACATCCTTCGCTTTCGGAGCAGATTTGGAGGATGTCTCGAGCGATGCGCCCATTTTCACCACCCTAAGGGGAGCCGCCAGGGGTTATCCCACGGTCCCTTTCGCGGCCGTTTTGCGGGGATGTCTCTAACGGTTTGCATGTTTTCTGTCCCAACATCCTTCGCTTTCGGAACAGATTTGGAGGATGTCTCGAGCGAGGCGCTCAGTTTCACCCCCCTAAGGGGAGCCGCCAGGGGTTACCCGTTCGCGGCCGTTTTGTGGGGATGCCTTCATTCCCCCTCCTCAAACTGGCCGCGAACGGGCCCGTGAAAACACCCCTGGCGGCTCCCTTTAGGGGTGATGAAACCAACGCACCGCCTGAGACATCCTCAAATTCTGCTCTGAAAGCCAAGGATGCTGGGCATGACAACGAGCAAACCGCTTGAGACATCCCAACAAACTGACCGCGAACGGGCCCGTGCAAACACCCCTGGCGGCTCCCCTTAGGGGTGCTGAAACAAGCGCCCCGCCTGAGACATCTTCAAAATCTGCTCTGAAAGCCAAGGCTGTTGGGCATGAAAACGAGCAAACCGCCTGAGACATGCCCACAAACTGGCCGCGAACGGGCCCGTGCAAACACCCCTGGCGGCTCCCCTTAGGGGTGCTGAAACCAGCGCCCCGCCTGAGACATCTTCAAAATCTGCTCTGAAAGCCAAGGATGTTGGGCATGGAAACGAGCAAACCGCTTGAGACATCCCAACAAACTGGCCGCGAACGGAACCGTGCAAACACCCCTGGCGGCCCCCCTTAGGGGTGCTGAAACCAGCGCCCCGCCCGAGACATCCTCAAAATCTGCTCTGAAGCTCTTGGGGCCGTCTTGGGGGCCTCTTGGGCCGTCATGAGGCCATCTTGGAAGCATCTTAGGCGATCTTGGGGCGACCTGTGGGACCTCTTGGACCGTCTTCAGCCGTCTGAATGGCGAAAAGAAGCAAATGCCAAAGTCTTTTAAGTATTCACTGCGTCGAGCTCCCCATGTGTGCACCTATTCGCATGGACCTGTCCGCCGTGAATGTCTAGGCGCAAGAGCTTTCGAATATAACCGGGCTTCAGTTGTGACGGTCTGGTCATGAATCTAACTGAAAATGAATTGGAGTGTGAATAAGCCTCAGTAGTACGAGCGCGTCTCTGCGCATGAGCCTGGGTCCTCCTGGGGCCTCCTGGGGCCTCCTGAAACCTACTGGGGCTTCCTGAGGCCTCCAGGAGCCTCTTGTGGCCTGCTGGGGCCTCCTGGGACCCCCTACGGAGGATTCGTACCCCAGGAGAGGCCCAATCTATAGCAACAGACGTACATAAAACATTGCGGATTGGAGCCACAGGAGAAGGGGGCAATATATAGGAACACACATAAAACACCAAGGACTCGTGCCCCAGGAGAGGCCCTATAGGAACGTAAGTACACAGGAGAATGACAATATATAGAAACATACGTATAACATCAAGGATTCGTGCTCCAGGTGAGGCCCATTCTCTAGGAGCATACGTAAAACACATGGGATTGGAGCCACTCCTGTTGCCTTCTGAGGCCTCCTGCTCCTGGGGCCTCTCGGGGCCTCCTGTTGCCTTCCGAGGCCTCCTGGCGCTTCCTCTGGCCTTCTGGGGCCTCCTGTGGCTTCCTAAGACCTTCTGGAGCTTCCTGGGGCCTCCTAGAGCCTCTTGGGACATCCTGTGGCCTATTGCGTCTTTCTGTGGCCTCCTGATGCCTCCTGGGACCTCATGTTGTCTCCTGGGGCCTCCTGGAGCCTGTTGGAGCCTCCTGTGGCATCCTGAGTAGAATCTGTGCCCACGAGGCTGGCCACCGATCGAGACATCCTCAAAATCTGGCCCACCTGGGGGTGACAATGAGCGCCTCGCTCGAGACATCCTCCAAATCTGCTCCGAAAACAAATGATGTTAATACAGAAAACAAGCAAACAGCTTGAGACATCCCCACAAAACGGTCGCGAACGGGACCGTGAGATAACCCCTCAAGGGGGGTGAAAATGAGCGCCTCGCTCGAGACATCCTCCAAATCTGCTCCGAAAGCGAAGGATGTTGGCCCCACGACGGCCCAAGAGGCCCCCAAGACGCCCAAGATGGCCTCCAAGACGGCCCTGGAGCACCCCAAGAGGGCCCCAAGTCGGCTCAGAGAGGCCCCCCAAACGGCTTCCGACGGCGTCAGACGGGCCAGGAGCCCACCAAGATGGCCGAAGTTGGCTCGAAGCTGGCCCAAGACGGCCCAAGAGGCCTCCAAGAGGGCCTCCAGGAAGGCCAGAAAAGGCCTTCAACACTGAGTGTCCCTAGGTTTTGAAAGATTTTGATATTTGCTTCTTTTCGGCCTTCCGACGGCCCGATACGGAACACGAGCCCCCAAAGATCACCCAAAGATCACCCAAGATGCCTCCAAGATGGCCCCAGAACGGCCCAAGAGGCCCCCAAGACGGCCCCAAGAGGGCCCCAAGACGGCCCAAGAGAGCCTTCTAAGACGCCCAAGATCACCTCCAAGACGGCCCTGGAGCACCCCAAGAGGGCCCCAAGTCGGCTCAGAGAGGCCCCCCAAACGGCTTCCGACGGCGTCGGACGGGCCAGGGGCCCACCAAGACGGCCGAAGATAGCACTAAGATTGCCCAAGACGGCCCAAGAGGCCTCCAGGAAGACCCGAAAAGGCCAAAATCATTGATTTCCCATGAGTATTTGAAGGATTGTGGCATTTGCTTTTTTTCGGCTTCCGACGGTCCGAGACGGCCCAAGTGCCCCCAAAGATCGCCTGAAAGGAACAAGAGACGCTCAAGATGGTCGCCGAGATGGCCCAAGCGCCCTCCAAGACGTCCTCCAAGAAGGCCCGAAAGGGTCAAAATGGCCTCCAGGCGGCCAAGATGACCTTCAAGATGCCCACGTGTTCCCCGAAGGCCTTCCAAACCGATTCGGGGAACACATGGTTCGATAGCTTGGCAGGTCTGGCCTCAACGTTCGGCCACATTGGCACTTCCAAGAAGGCAGGGGGCGGCGGTGACTCGCCGTAGGCGTCTTCGATAAAACAATACCCCAAAAATACCCCAAAATATTTAAGAATTGATCAAGCAATCGTCCCCTGACTATTTTTGACTATTTTTGAACATTCCTATTCCTCCTGTAGAGGGCAGGCCCGACTTAATCCCAGCCCCGTCCGAGACATACCATGACTATAACCACGGTGGCGGGCCGGGCCGAAGGCCACTGGAAAACTGCCACGACCGTCGCAAGCTCTCGCTCCGCCTGGGGGTCGGCGGAATGGCGTAGGCCACTGGAAGAAAGAGCTGCGAACATATCTGAAGGGGCCCCAGGACACACAAATAAATACACGCAAATAAAATGATTCCCCATATTCTCCAATGTTTTTTTGGCTTCTGTCTTCCCCTCGCTTCCCATATTTTTGCATATCTTCCTGGGAGTCGACGATTAATTGTGTCTGTGTGTTCCTTTCCCTCCTGAATATCCGTATCCACGCGGGCACGCGGGCACGCGATCCCGGGACGCGAGGCGCGGCGCTCGGCGCCGGCACCCTCGCGGTCGCCGCCGGCGCCGCGCTGTCCGGGGGCCGCCGCCGCGCCACGGCCAGGAGCCCGAGATCGTGGCCCCTCCTCCGCCTCCTCCGCCGCCTCCTCCTCCTCCTCCTCCTCCTCCGCCTCCTCCTCCTCCGCCTCCTCCACGCTGGATTCCAGGACGCGATCCCGCGGGTACGCGGCCGCACGGACATGCCCCGCGCGGGGGCATCCGCGACCAAACGCCCCAGATCCGCGGGGTCGCGGCCCAGGGGCCCGGCCCGCGAGGCCGCGGATACGGATATGTTTTCCACCCATCCCCCCCCTTGAAGGCGCACGTCCGATCCGAACAAACGATGCAGGCAGCTTGCAGCACACGGTCGCCCGTGACGGTGCGGCCAGACAGCGCCCGCCACCGAGCACGTGCTATGGCAGTTCCGAGCGCGCGCGTCGCAACTCGGGGGCCGACACAAACACACAAACACACAAACACACACACACACAGTGAGTACGGTTGGGTGATGCCGCTTGCAGGGGGTCCAGGAGAGGGTCAAAAGCGGGACGGGCACTGGAAGAAGGGAAGAGAGGCAGCTGGTGCTAGAGGTGCGATACTTGCCGTTCGCCTCTCTCTCCATCGAGAAATCCACAGAAAATCCAAATCCAATCGGGACGATGGCACAGTCATTCTGGAGCTCTCGTCCAACTCTCGCCGCCGGCGAGCAAATCAACCCTGCCCCCGAGGTGCCGAAGACGGTGAGCAGCAAGCGGCGTCTGAGGTCCCAGGTCCGACGGCACCTCCAGGGCTGGCTTCCCTCGGGGGCGTTCCCTCCAGAAGACGGTGAGACAGGGGGCATTACGGGGCGCTGAGGAGGGAGCCCGAAGGCGCTGCCTCGCGCTCCAGGCAGCCAGAGCCAGAGGCGGAGCCAGAGGCGGCGCCACCGCTGGCGGCAGCGGAGCCAGCAGCGCCACCGCTGGCAGCGGCGGAGCCGGAGCCGCCAGCAGCGCCACCGCTGGAGCCGCCAGCAGCGCCACCGCTGGCGGCGGCGGCGGAGCTGGAGCCTCGAGATGGGACCACGCGTTGCGCCCAGCCTTCCGTTCCTCCCAATCATGTTCCTCCATCCATCCTCCTCCATCCCTCCTCCTTCTCGTCGTCCTCCTCCTCCTCCTCCTCCTCCTCCTCCTCCTCCTCCTCCTCCTCCTCCTCCTCCCCGCCTCCTCCTCCTCATCCTGCTCCTCCGCCTCGTCCTCCTCCTCACTCCCTCCTCCTTCCTAGTCGCAGCGGAGCCAGCAGCGCCACCGCTGGCAGCGGCGGAGCCGGAGCCGCCAGCAGCGCCACCGCTGGAGCCGCCAGCAGCGCCACCGCTGGCGGCGGCGGCGGAGCTGGAGCCTCGAGATGGGACCACGCGTTGCGCCCAGCCTTCCGTTCCTCCCAATCATGTTCCTCCATCCATCCTCCTCCATCCCTCCTCCTTCTCGTCGTCCTCCTCCTCCTCCTCCTCCTCCTCCTCCTCCTCCTCCTCCTCCTCCTCCTCCTCCTCCGCCTCCTCCTCCTCCTCCCTCCCTCCTCCCTCGCCTCCCTCCCTCCCTCCCTCCCTCCCTCCCTCACTCCCTCCCTCCTCCCTCCTCCCTCATCCCTCCTCCTCCTCCCTCCTCCCGCCTCCTACCTCCTACCTCCTCCCTCTAACCTTCCTACCTCCTACCTTCCCTCTCCTTACCTCATACCTCCTACCTCATACCACCTACCTCCTACCTCCTTCCTCTACCCCTACCTCCTACCTCCTACAATATACTACCCTACCTGCCTACCTCCTACCTCCTACTCCTACCTGCTACCTGCTACCTGCTACCAACTACCTAACCTCGCTACCTCCTACCTCCTCACCTCCTACCTCTATCGACCTCCTTCCCTCCTACCTCTTACATCCTACTTCCTACCTCCTACCTCCTACAATATACCATCCTACCTCCTACCTCCTCCTCCTACCTCCATCTCCTACCTCCTACCTCTTCCTCCCTCCTCCTCCTCCTCCTCCTCCTCCTCCTCTCCTGCTCTCCTCACTCCTCCCCTCCTCCTCCTCCTCCTCCTCCTCCTCCTCCTCCTCTCCGCCTCCTCCTCCTCCCTCCTGCTGCCTCCTGCTCCTCCTGGTCCTCCTGGTCTCCTCCTCATCCTTCTCCTCCTCCTCCTCCTCCTCCTCCTCGATCCTCCTTCCTCCTCCTCCTCCGCCTCCTCTCCTCCTCCTCCTCCTCCTCCTCCTCCTCCTCCCCCCTCCCCTTCCGCTCATCGTCCTTTTCCTTCCACTCCTCCTCCCCCTCCTCCTCCTCCTCCTCCTCCTCCTCCTCCTCCTCCTCCTCCTCCTCCTCCGCCTCCTCCTCCTCCTCCTCCTGGGCTGGGCGCTGACGGCATGGGGGGGAGGTGATCAAACCAGGTTCTCGCTATGCCTGCCTGCGGTGGCGCTCGCACTGAGACACTCGGCGAGGCGCTCGGTTGGCCCGCTGGAACAAGGGGGCTACGCCTAGGCGAGGGAGACAAAGGGCAATGAGGGGCAAGAGGAAAGGCGGGAGAGGGGCGCGGAAAGGAACCGCCCACACCCACGAGACTAGACTGCGAGTTCCCTGCGGGAGCGTACCAAACTCATCCTGGCGAAGGACCAAGCCACGTGCAGCCCCGAGTAGCGCAAGGCACATGATAAGGAGCAGGGGGCGAGAAAGAGGAGTGGGGAGTGAATCAGAAGGAGAAAATGGATAATGGCAGGGGGTCAGAAATGACAAGCGAGGCAGAGAAACGCTGGAGCTCCTTATGGGAAACGAGTGCGAACAGTGCCGAAATGGGCGCCGCAACGACATGCGAACACCGCCCCTGGGGCCTTCGGTAGAGCGAGATGGGGACGCGGCAACGCCATGCGAACACCGCTGGCCGTGTGACTACGACGGCTATGTCGCTCCGATGGGCCTCCCAGGAGGGCACGAAAGTAGTGACAGCGCAGCAATTGGAAGCTAGAAGCGCGAGGTCTCATCTGGATGCGCGTCTGGCACCAATCCGATGCTTGGGCATCCAGGCTCTGGAGGCGCGACACAAGCGAGGATCACCTGGCAAGTGTGTCAACCCGCAAACCCCCAATGCTCGGCAGTTGCATGTAGCGAAGAGCATGGCACGCACGTCACACAGAGGGCGCCGCGGCCATGCGCATGGGGAGCTGCAAAGCGGGCGCGCACAAGCGCGCAGAACTCCTGGGAGGCACGATCCGTTTGAATGCTACACCGATACAGTCAAGGGGACGCCATGCGAGTTCCTCCACTGGGGACATCGTTGGAGCTCCCTGTGGAGCCCGATCCTCGTGAGGAGTGGAGACAACCTGCGAGCTCTTACACTTAAGCAATCGACGGAGCTCCCTGCAAGAACACGATCCTCGTGAGATCCCGAGCCCCAGATAACATCCATCGATGCCACGACCTCGCGCTCGGCGGTCCACCACCACCACCACCACCACCACCACCCCTGCCTGGTCGGCGCCACCAGCATCGACACTCTGCCGTCGCGACCGCTCCTCCGCAAAAAACTGCATGAACCTAAACTTGTGAGAAGCCTCGCAAATAATCTTTGACTGCCTACCAGACCACCCCAACCCAACCCGAAGAACCGAATTTGACCCGAACTTCGGGTTGGGGGGGGGTACGGGTTCCATGTGTTCTTTCAACATTCCCCGACCCCCCCCCCACTGGAAATGGAGGGCAAATTGGAGCCTTCGGGTTGGGTTGGGGTGGTTTGGTGGGTGGTGAGAGCCCCCCTGCCTGGCGCGCGGAGCGCGGAGCGCAAGAATTTCCGCGAGGAGCGTCGACAGCTTATGTTTGTGCCGTTTTCTCCTCTCGGAGAATCCCCGCCGAGCCCTTCCTCGGCCCCACGCAGGGGCGACCCCAGGCAGCAGTGGCTCCTCCTCCTCCGCCTCCTCCTCCTCCTCCTCCT